TTTTTGATTGCTGAATTTTTGATTGCCACTTTATTGCCGAAATGTAATATGCCAAGTGGCAGCAATCGAAAAGAATTCAGCAATATTTTTATTATTAAATTTAATCAAATTCGTCAATAATTCAGCTGTCAAATGATATAATTTCAACTAGTGTCATATCAAATACATTAGAAGTGGCAATAGTTTATTTGATAATACCTGATATTGAATTTTCAATTTCTACTATAACTATCAAATTGCTTAGAAGAAGGTCATCTATTATATTTCTAAAATATTGGTATCTAAAGTTGTGTGAATATTAATGTCAAAAGTTGAATTGTTACTCAAAACTTGAATCAGAAAAAATATTGATAAAGATTAAAATTAAATTATTGCTGAATTATTAAAATTTACCTTTATTAACTAAACGATTTATTTAGAAAATGAAGAATTAAGAATGTGGATCGAAAACTAGAAAAAAAAATGTCAAATTTGTAAAACAATTAGATTTAAAAAAGGAAATTGACTGACTCAAATCTGTGAAACCTGAACTTGATCCTATAGTTGTTGTAGAATCTAGAGCAGCTGATATATCAGAATCTAAAAGTTTGCTGAGTTTAGAAAAATACTAAAGAATTCAACCTAGGAGAAGTAGTAAAGAGGCAAAACCAATAAAACCAGTTACCAAAGATGAGCTAAAACCAGAAGAAGCAAAAGCAAAAATGAAGGCCTTAATGAAAGCCATTCCTATCTTGTTTTAATTTTACAGTATATTTTTGGATTTGATATCAGCATTCTCGGCTATAAGCCTAGAATTCAATTCTTTTAATGAATCGATTGTGGATTGTGCGCTTGTCATTGCTTTATATAGAAAGCAGTTATATTCAAAAGTTTAACCACTTACGTGACTTAAAAAAATGGTAAAAATAATGTTAACACGCGCTATATTTATTGTAATAAATCACTATATTTACTAGGGCTGTTAAAAGTCCGATCCTATCAGTCCAGACTAGCCAATCAGGAATTGAGTGCCGACTCCCAAATACGAACTTTGTCCGAGTCGGTCCTAAAAAGTCCACTCAAATTACACGTTAAAAGTTTTGGATCCTATCATTTATTCACGTGGTGAGTTTAAAAATATTGCCCTGAAAAAAATCTCACGCGTATCCCAAACGCGTTTCTTTGATATAGTGTGAGCAAAAACCACTATCAACTTTAAAATCATGTCTGGTTTTTACCTTTTGTTCATTTCCAAAATAGTTACCCGAATACTTCGATCGTAAAGCGTCAGATTGTGATATTATCAGATTCCTCAATGAATGTAACCTAGAACCTTATACGAAAAAAATAGATTATTATTTAAAGTCTCTTTTGGTTATTGCCAACACAGAAGATGGTCAAAGGCGTTTAAAAGCACAGGAACTCCTCGATCTTTACAAGCAGGAAAGTATTTTTACA